AACTGAGTCTTGGCATCTATTTGAGTGAAGGCCAATACGTGAGGCTTGGTGGTACCCTGCCCCAGGTATCACAAAAGATGGAGTTACATAATCGTCCACCTGCGTGTGGGATGAGCACAAAGACAAAATTAAAAAGTTCCGTGTTAATCAAGCGCGACTGAAAGTGGAGACAAATGCCACCGTGTCTGTTCCCAATCGCTGGAGATTGATGCAGCGACGCAACAACCTACGTGTCATCCGCAACCGGCCAAGAGTCGCTAATTCTTGTTTTTTGTTTCGATATATTTTGGACCGTTTCTTTCCAACGGATATGGATGACTTCCAATTTCGAAAGGAGGAAGCAAGACGAGGGCTATGATATTTAAGTAAAGACGCAAGCCAAGTGGAAACAACAAGGGGAAATGCACGGTGCTTATGAGAAGAGCGAGGTTATCACTCTCGGATAGCTCGTTTAATACTCCCGCAACGCATTACGAGCTAATTAAAATGTTGCAGCAGTTGGGAGTTTGACTTCCAGCGATGAGGAAAAGTTGGAAATGTTAACGACGTCGAGGTTTTCGCTATCAGCAGAATCTTAAAAACGAATTTGTCAGACAGCTTTTAACGCAAACGCTACCAAGGTTGATTGAGTCGAAACAGAACTCGGGTTTTTGGGGGAAAGGGCAAACTTTAAAGTTCAAATTGGCATCATGAGTGAACGTCTGGCAGAAGGAGTCAAGTTTAGGGAGACTGTGGTTTCCACATTTTCGGTCCCGGGAAAAGTGGACGTAGGGGCTAGCAAGAAGCAGAGAATAAAAGACGTCCCGCAGCAGAAAGTGAGGAAAACAAAACGACGTTGACATTTTGTTGATTTTGAAGCATCTGACCGGCAATAAATTGTTTAAATTAGACAACCAAGTAACAACTTTTGTTATCTGCCCATCGGTGAAATGATAATTTACATATACAAAAAGTCGCTGGTTGCTTGCAAAGCAGAAACGTCAGTGAAGTTGCTTAATGTCGTGAGAAAGTCTCTAAATTGCCAGCTGAGGAGCCCTCGCGGCACTTGAACGAGGCATAACAGCAGAGTGATTTGCACTATCGCGTCACAAATGGATATTAACGATGACATCATTCTTTGTACATTTTGACGGACGAATGGCTGAGACGTTTTCTCAGGAATTTTTTTTTTTTTTTTTTACTGGGTGATATGCAAACATGCTTTGGTCTGATTATAAAAATCTCATTCATGTTTTCCTGGGACGTGAATAAAACATTTGTTTCAATGCACTCAGGATTTTCTTATTGCGTCAACATGTGCACACATACACACACACACACATTGTCACACACGGGCTACGAAGATGCGATAGGGATCTCAGGTCTATAAATACAGATTGGGCCACGTTGCACCTGAATCAACAGGATGACGACCCGCCCAAGGCTCGAATCAAGAGGCTAGCAAACACCTCGTTGGGAATGAGTCTGTTCCCAAAGTCTCACGAGGATTTTTTTTTTTTCTAGGATTATTAACAAAAAGGAGGTTCAAAATACAACTTACATGTTTTAGTTAGGAAAGTACTTGGGGGCACTTCAGGTATTTGAACTTTCAAAAGGATCTGCAACTATGTTCTAGAGAAAACTGAAGAGGTAAAATGTCGTGTTGTTATCGAGACTCGAGACACATTTTGAAGGTCTTGGTCTTATCGCAGACTCCAACTTCCAAATGTTTTGAGCTTGTCTTGGTCTCGGACCAGTCAGATTTTCCGTCAAGACCGGCTTCAACGTCATGAATGTGACAATAAGGAGAAGCATTTGGGAAAACAACAAATACCTTCGAATCCACCAAAACACGTCATGACGGCAACCAACGATGTTTTTGGAGAAATGTTTTGAGCTGTCAAATGTATTTAAAACTCAATTTAAATTAAAGATCAAGTGTATTTTAATTCTTCAACCTTGTCATGGTTTTTAAATTAGATTTTTATGGTCTTGGTCTTGTCGCCGTCTCGATTTAGCTCTCGTCTCGGTCTCGACTCTCAAAAGACTTGGTCTTGTCTTGGTCTCTGCGAGTTCTGGTCTCGGGAAAGTCTTGATGGCCACATTTTGTACGGTATTCCTGATGTCATGTTTTTGGAGAAGTCCACAGCCTCGATGCTAAAAGATTGGGGCGAAGCAAATCAGCAATCGGGGTCTGGAGCATTTGTGCCAAGATCTTTTTTTTTTGTGTGTGACTAATCTGTCGGGTTCAATTAAAGCGCTTATGCTCTACCGCATAACGTGATCCTCATTAATTCACATCCCGAGTGAATGATTGAGTGAAATTAAGATAAGACTCAGCCTTGATGACAAATGAGCTCACACCTTCAACTCTTTTCGAGTACTTGAGGTCATTGGTGGGTCAAAGCGGCCCATGACTTTGCACCCTCGCAGATCCATCCAGATGGAGGTACTTCCTTCGAGAGCCGCCGGGTCCACCCGTGGGCACACACGGTCGAGAGATAACGGAGTACATAATGCCCGGTCTTATCGGCGCAGACAGCAGGCATGTTGACATGGGCACAAGTGGTCGCCATGCTGACGAGGCATTTATCTCAACGACGACTAATGAGCCGTTCAGGGCAAACTAACTGCGGAATAAGAGCACTGGGCCAGACATCACAAAGAGGGCCAACGTTTGAATTCTTTTGAATAGTCCTTCATGTTTGTTCTTGTGTGTATCTGTGATGTTAAAAAATAAAAAAAAAATAAAAATTTCAAATCTGCATTTGCACAAAACTCTGCCGGTCAACATACCTCACGGAGGCTCGGTTTGCTGAGTGTTTTGCATTTTCTTGAACTTGTTTTTTATAAAACTCAAGCGCCACCGTTCGCATTGCTATTTGCAAGTTGGGGCAAGCCACAGACTCTGCGGTTGTCGTGATGTGAAACAGAACAACAGCCAATGAGGAAACGACCTGAAGCTTGTATTGAGGAGCAACTCGTGTAAAGTGATTGTCTTTCATGTCCAACAGGTAATTCCATGGAGTAAAAAGGACAAGTCAAAAGTTAGACAAGCATTTCCTCCTATTTCTTTGCATTTCCCAGCAGTCTTGATGCCCTGTGGCACTATGCTGCCCCATACAGGTCATTCTTGGTACTACAAGGGACATCTGGTTTTGGGTGAGGGACTGTGATTGTTTCTGACGATATTGTGTGTGGTGTGCGACTGTACTCCACGCACACAAAAAGAACCCAAGCGACAATTTGCCGAAAATCCTTTTGAATATTTGTGAAAGAAACCAGAATTGGAACCTATTTATTTATGTATTTATTTGTTTGTTTATTTAAATAACTGTTGGCCCACAAAAATATAGCAATGTATGACGTTTATCAGATGATTTTCTGAATTATTATTTACCTATAATGATTTTTGCATCGTTAGGTTTTTCTTTCCTTACTGGGATGGTCGCAAACAATTATGCTTCTGGTCAGTCAAGAGTTCACAATGATACACGAGGAATAAAGGAGATTGGCACTGGAGCCTTCTTTGCAGTGCATGGGGAGTTGAAAGAGAGGAAAAGCAAGGCAGGCAGAAGTGGATTGTTATTTGGGAGGGGCATAACACTGAAGGAGATTGAAATCGGTCTGGGCCAGCGACAAGTGGTCGCGTCTGTCTCCCTGCCACCCAGTCTGACGGCCGCCCGGGGCTGGCTCACGCCGCATTAAAACACAGGAAGTGGCCTGTTTTGACTCGCCACGCCGATTTTTCGCATGACATCGGCCTCCTTTCGTCTGAGAAAACCCTTCCGTGTCTCATCATCGCCTTTTAGATTTCCACTTTGGAATACATACGCGATTCACATCCAATTGCAGTTGCAAAAATGGAATCCTCTACTTCCCATACTGTATGTCTTGTGGTTACGGCTCTCTTTTTCCCTTTGAAACATTTTCAACAAGCCCTCGCTTTTTCTCCAGGCGCTGGCTAATGCGCTTTTGTACTTTCACTTCAGCCCGTGGAGGCATACTCCAGGGTGGGCACAACCACAGCAGGAGGTCCACAAGCGCCAACTGAGACGTTTGCTGCAATAGCATATTCTGCACGGTTTCCCCACCTGTCAAAATGCTACTCACTACTCAATAAATGATAGATTTTAGAATCAATACCTCAGTTCGGTGCTAGATAATTATGCAAATTTACCCTTGACAGTCTCAGTCAGAGCTGTGCATCATTAGAAAATAGACAATTCTGTCGATTGTGTGGGAATTGATTGTTGAATGGTGCCTTGAAGCAATTAATGCAAAACAAATCGCTGTATTTGGCTGCAAACCTAATCCGGCTTGTTATTAAGGTAGTTTATGTAAAAGTGAAAGGAAAGAAGCGTGTCTTCTTCTGAAAAAGTGGTGGGAACAGAAAAAAAATGTCAGTTATTTTTAATTTGACAGACTGACAAGCTTGAAGTGCGTCAGAGGTACTGTTAAGAAGAATAAAAAAAAATTATGGAAAAAGAAATTGTGAATGAAAAATCAGTATCACCCAAAAGTCCCATATCAGTCAGGCTCTAGCATTCCATCTCGCGATGGACGGCGATCTCCACTAGCCTGTATGTATGCGGCTGATTGAAGGTGACCAAAGTGTGATTTTAGCATTTATAACGATAACAATATTAGCTTAAAACTAAATTGAGTATCGCCATAAATGCTTTACTTGTATCACGTGTCCTCCTCCTCGTTAGAAGCAAAGCTAGCGATTTCCGCTAGTGTCAAATACACAGCTGCTAATTGAGCGAAATTAAATGTGATGCAGTATATTCTCGGCCAGATATTATAGATCCAAGTATATAGTGAAAACATAATGCAGGATTACAGTATAGTTTAATGAAGAAAGGGTATCAAGTGGTGTTTTTTTAAGGTACACTTGCCCACTAACTGCTGTCGGTTGATGGGTGGGATTTTGAAGGCTTGTCGTTTAAATATACTGCGCACAGATAGTATTTACGGTATATTTTGACGAAGGTATGATATGAAATCAAGTGACTCACCTGAGACAACGACAGTTAGGCAAAGAAGAAAACCGAGCAACTCCATGTTGGGTGTCCAGTTGATGTTTCGAGGGATGTGGATGCAGAATTTCGGGAGTCTACTGGAGATGTATGCGTCCGTTAATTAACTCTGAGGGCCTGCAATAGATGAATTTGAATGGGAATTTTGAATGGCAAAGTAAAAAAAATAAAAAATGGGATTTAGTTGACAACAACAGCATTCCGAGGGAATTCAGGAATGACGAAATCTTTTATTATTATAATGTGAATCAATTACATAACATACGATACAGATGCACAAAAAAAGTAGATCAGGATTTGGCAAAATCACCTGACATTCTCCCCGGCTTCCTGATGCACAATCGGAAGTTCGAGGGTTATCGTCTGGTCCCTGTGCTGTATTGGGAATGTTTCAGGAAGCGCGTCTACTGCAAGACTTTTTGCTTAAAATAAAATCACAATGCGGGATCAGATAAGGAGCAGGAGGCTGACTCCTGTTACGTGATTCACATTGGAGGGGCGAAAGGAAGAGTCTATGTAAACTTTATCTTAAAATAAAACTCCCAGACGGGAAAAAAAAACGCAATCGTGGATAACGTGAAAGTTGCGAAAGTGTTGATGAACTTGAAATGTTAGTGGCGAGTCCGAGAAGCTTAATACTTATGAATACTGCGCGTTTTTATAATGTAAAATCGACTTCAGAATAAATGTAATTTCCAAAGTAAGCAAATAATAAAATGCTGGGGGTAAAACTTCAATGAGTGAAATGTGGCGAAAGTGGCGCTAAAGTTGGGCTATTCGCAACAGCGAGCACCAAAATGGCCAATGTTTACGAATATGAAAAACACCCATATTCAAGAAAATGTGACTCATTCATAAAGCTAACAAAGGTTAAACGGTGGTATACTGACATACCTTTCAAAAGCGACAGGCGGTGAGTTAAAGGGAAGCTACGGGGGTTTTAGTCCACGCGTGGAGGATGCGGCTTCACTCAGCGATGTGAGCGAGTCAGACTTGTCCAAAACTTTGGCCACTCATCTGGGCGGCGCACTTGGACTTTGCTACGCCCCCCACGGAGACCACTACCCGCCCCCGGTCGCTTCATATAACGTCGAATGTGATCCTTCGTTCTTGTGTCCCTCCACTCAAATCCAAAGGTTTGCGTAAACGCCGTTAATGTTGACATAGAATATGACATTAAAAATGTTTCCACAAATCTCAGACACTGTTGTTACTTGAAAGTTGGCTGCTCTAAGCAGCCATCACCTCTCTGATTTAAGCTTTTCAGATCTGAATGGAAAAGAAAACTAGAATTCAACATTTGTTCTTCACAAAAGGAATTATTAATCCTCTGATTAAAAACTTTCAGTTATTCTCTTGTCCAAGTTAGTTTATATATATATATATATATATATATATATAGAGAGAGAGAGAGAGAGAGAGAGAGAGAGAGAGAGAGAGAGAGAGAGAGAGAGAGAAGAAATAAAGCATAAACATAAACCTACTGAGCCTAAAGCTAACAGATAATGGATGAATGGTGTTAGCTTTAGCCTCAGGGGGTTTCTAGTTCAGTTTGGCAGGTGTAAACATTTGAAACAAAAAAAAAGATTTTTTTTCTTGCCAAACATACCTGCATGTGTTTTTGTCAATGGGTGTAGTGTGTGCGGGGAGGATGACTCATCTCATTCTGTTCAGTCCAAAAAGGATGTTGTGTCTACTTGCAATCTATTTTCCCACTCACTAATCTGTATTTGTTAAATGGTAAATGTCATTGTAATGGGAATATACTAGAATAAACTGCCAAGTGTGATCAGATTATGTCTGGGTGAAGCAGTATGTGGTTCATTGTTTGAGGTTATTCTTGTACCCTCTGTTCCAAATAACCACAAACAATTGTATGTTTGTTATAATGACGCGATTCCAGAAGAGTGTGTCTCCTGCAATATGGTGGAAATCAGCAGTGACTGACTTTTGCTTGTGTAGACATGTGTAGATTGCTTAGACTGCTTCCATTCTATTCCCACCCCACCGCTAACCCCAATATTACAATAACAGGAAATAATCGGCCGACATCTTTCATCGCGGCTTGACGTCGGTTCCCGCATGGTGCCACCGGATCTCTGCGGTGCCAGTCGGCCCGCCACCACGCCACAGGGCATCGAAGGTGAGGAGGCTGGGGGTCATTGTGAGTTTGAGCCAGCTTCCTTATACTGTATTCGTCTGAAGGAACATCTGACGCATGTTGGGCTCGACTGCACATTCTAATGACAGCCAATACAAAATGTCTGCCTTTGCATGGCCAAAGAAATACAAATAATATTTAGAGAAAAGAAATAACAATGTCCCGGCCTCGCCTCTGACCAACCACCCAGGTCATTTTCTCTAGTTCCACAAGGGGGCGTTATATCACGGATCATGCGAAAGTGTCCTGTCACATGAACGCCGGTTTCCGTTTTAGTTTCATTTGCTTGTCCGGAATGCTCCCGCTGTGTCATCCACGTGCTGCCCCATTGTCCATTTTAGCGGCGTACGTGATTTATCGCATGGCCTCCCTTATCTTTTGTCCACTGTCTTTTTTTTTTTTTGCCAGCATACCATGCATAACTTTGTTTTGCGAAAGTGCTTACAGACACCTTTTCTTGTCTGGACTTTCCGACAAGGATGCATCCTGTGCAGCACCCCCCCCCTCCCCCCCAACACAACACTTCTTCCTCCTCATCATCCCTACAGTCTCCTTGGAGGATAGTCCGGATACCTGGTGGAAGCGTGTGTGCGCGTGTGTTAGTTCCTAACACACTTGACTTGATGGCAAAGTTGCAGCAGCAAACGCAAACTGTGATGTCCGACATTCTGTTGTGACCGATATGGCATTTCCTGTTCCCGAGTCGTATGAAGGCATGGTATCATCACGTGTGAGGTACACACGTATAGATGAGGGAGGGGGTGAGGGGGATCAAAGTATGTGGTTATTTTGTAGTTTCCTTCAAATACATTAAGAGCACATATTTAGTCCAAATTGATTCATTTCAGACTTTTGGGTCTTGGTAGAGGTCACACGAAAGTCAAAGCAACAAAGAAACAAGAGTGTTGGTTTTTCTTTTTTTTTTTTGAAACTACAGTGCATCAATAGCTTTGGCGACTTGGCTGAAGACCTCCTCCACCGGAAGTTCCGAGTCCACCTAGGCAGGGCGAGATGATGATGTCATCAGAGAGAGCCACATGATGACAGCAGTACCCTGACTTCAGAGTTGAAATTGTTGCGTGACCGTGCTCATTACTCAAATCACCCCTTTCTGGTGCACTTTGGCCACCAGGGGGTAGTATAATATATACTGTAACACATTAAGATTCGATGATGAAACATGTAGACTATCACAACTAGGGTGCAATAATTAAATGGGGGGGGCGGAGGGGGATATAGCATAAAGAACATATTTCCCGTGAGTACTGTATTCTTACATGGTTTGGATGTATCCTCTGCTGCACTGTTTGTGTTCCAAAATTAGTTGGGTGAAGGTTTATGACTATAGTCTGTGATGGTTCACATTATTTTACTTTCTTAGAACCCATGTTTGAACAAAACTCACTTTTTTCGCTCACATGTTTCGCTTGCAAGACAAAGCGAAACAAACGACCAAGCGACAGCTCATAGCTTGAAAAAAGTTGGGGGTGTCCATAAGTCAAGGTACCAGTATGGTAATGATATTGCCCACCTTCTTGACAATGCCACGCTTCTCGTAGAAGGCGATGACGGGCTCGGTGGCCTTGTAGTAGAGGGCCAGTCGCTTCTTGATGGTCTCCTCGTTGTCGTCAGAGCGGCCGCTGGTCTCGCCACGCTTCAGAAGTCTCTTGACCATGGTCTCGGACTTGGCGTCAACATACAGCAGCAGGCACGGTTTGCCGATCTGAGGCCGGCAGAGGTGTCATAGAGGTTTGTGTGTTCATTTTTTTTTTTTTTTTAAAATCAGGGACAAAAGCTCAATGCTTTTTACCTTCTTCTCAAACTCCTCGCCCTGCTTCAGCTCACGTGGGTAGCCGTCGATGAGGAAGCCCTTGGATACATCGGCTTTGGCGATCATGGCGTCCTTAATCATGTCCAGCACGGTGTCCTGAGCAGACAAAATTATTTTTGGGAGGACATTTTTTGATGATTATTTTCGAGATTTCTTCACGTTAAGCCTATGAGAGCATTTCAAATATTTCTGCTTTGTACGAATAGACTATCTTGTTTTTTTTGGACAAAGACTCAAAAGCAGAGTTTTTTGCGTGAGTTGAACGTGTGCTCCCCTCACCAGTGGCACAAGCTCTCCCTTCTGCATGATGGCTTGAAGCTGCTTGCCCCTCTCAGAGCCCGAGGCCACCTCAGTGCGGAGCAAGTCCCCGGATGACAAGTGGGTGAAGCCGTACTTTTTCACCATCATTGCGCACTGCGTGCCTTTACCGGACCCGGGCCCGCCTGGAAAAGACAGCGTGTTAAAATGTGTGAGAGGGTCTTACTAGGTGAGCCAAACTTCACACTTGTGCATTATACTCACCGACCACAAAGATGATTTTAGCATCTTTGAGCTTGTCTGAAAATAGAAAAAAGTCTGTGTTAGCAAAGGACCCATTGTGATCCCCATAATTTAATTTTTCCAAGATGATGATAAAAAATAATGAAACTGGAAAAAAGGCAGTTTAAGATCATATGAATGCAATCAGAATGGCTATTTCAAACCATGTTGAGGATGAAATGTCCACTTTTAAGATTAAAAAAGTAAGCAAAATTGCTCCGAGTGGCTCCATTAGTTCAGATAAAGTTAATAATTGGCTGTTTCATGATAAATACCCGTGCACACCGTAAACTATAATTGGAGGGTGCTCATAAAAAATATTTTTTTCATAAAAAATACAAAAAAAAAACCCTGAAAAAAAGGCTGTTCATTGCTGCTTAAAATTTTCAAAAATAAAATGGATGTCACAGACCATTTCGATGGCAAAAGTCTTGCGAGTTGCATAAATTCCCCATGTCTGCAACAACTCCTTTCGAATCTTAGGATTGTGTTGTCTTGGTTACCATATCAACGGCTGGTCGCCATGTAGAACAAAACAGGTAACAGATTTTTTTTATCAATCCACATAAATTGTGGTAGATTTTAGCTGCTTTTTAAGTGTGAGTGAAATATCAATTATTTAGAATAAAAATGGGAACTTTTTACTATGCTCGCTCGCAGTATCCTCTAAAATAGCCACAAGATGGCGGCAGACGTCCAAAAACAAGCAAGGCAGCCGGCGCTTGCCACCCAACTCCATAAAAGGACAACAACACGTCCACGCGTTTCAAACAGTGACGACGACAACGTGTTGTCATCTTAGAGACACGTTTCTGGCGTCATTTACCTGCCATTGTGTTGCGTTCGCTCTCAGCTCACTTTCAACTAAAACAAAGAAGAACATTTCGGTGACGTCAACCAAATTAAAACACATGAGCGGTAACAGTGAAGTCTTCTGGAATTTGGCGGGGCGCGTTGTCATTCGTAGACATTTCAAGCCCCAAAAATGCAGAAATAAAACAACGACAGTGTCTTACATTTGGACAGGAATTCCCCTTTATTTGCGTGTTCACCAATCCAAGTTAATCCAGAGAGGCCGACAAAGCCATTGTTTTGTTTTCCTCGTTCTGCGGGTTTCCCCACCAGAAGAATGAGGAAGGAGGAGGGCCAACGTTTATATGGACAAGTCCAATTCTGCCCAATGAGCATGTTTTTAAGACGTGCATTAAGTTTAAAAATCATATTTGCCAGCGTTAGTGACATCGTTAGTTTTTCTAAATGAGCCCAAATTAATAACTTTATTTTTCTCACAGGATTTATAAGATAAAATGTTAATTTGAAACAAAAAAAACAATACAATTTGCCACCAGTAATGACTATATTTCTCTAAAAATAAAAATAGTATCTCAGTAGTGACTCTAATTTCTAAAATTATAAAAACTACTATGTAAAATCTTTTAAATGCCACAACTAGTGAGTTGTTTTTTTTTTCATTTTTTTAACTGACACCACTAAAAAAGCTGTTAATTTGTCAGAGTCCAATATTTTCTCAAATATTTTTTTTAAATCAATTCTGTCATCAGTAGTGACTACCTGATTTTTCTAAAATAATAATCAACAAAATTGCAATTTTCCAGCAGGAGTGTCTTTTCATTTCTAAACATAAATACAATGTGACGTACATTATACATAGGAAGAGCGTCGTGTCAGAGTCAAAAGTTTTGAAAATGACCACTGCAATCTACAGGCAATGAATCGCCAAGGTTAGCTTCTCGCTAGTGACGCACGTCAATCGTCGAAGGTCTCCATTTTTATGCTTTCGCCAGTTGACCCCGTGGTGCCGGTAAAGGTCACTTGGAGGCCCGCATCTGAGTCAGCACCTTGCCTATTTGGGAGCGGGACCTTTTAGATATGGCAGGTCAGACATGCTCATGTCTGATGCTGACTGCAGAAAAAAAAAAAAATCCTTACGTGACAAATCAACGTGCATCATTGAGTAAATCTGCGTACACATTTCAATGCAACGCAACCTATTTTTTGACGTGCTAAAAAAAGAGCACATCGCAGCTGTTAAGTGAAGGGATAGTGTGTCAGTCAGGCCAGGACTTCATTGACTCCCAAGGCGTGTAAAAGGCAAGTGGCACATTCCTCCTCTGGTTGCTGTGGAGAGAAGCTCTTGTGATTCAATGGGACCTAGCGCTTGCTAGCCCTTTAAGGCAGGCAGGCAGGCGGCGTGGAGGACCCTTTGACGTCAGTGCAGTGGGCGATGTTGTTTGCTGGTGATGATCATGTCAGTGCACGCAGCCTGGCTTCCACAAAACCCACTTGCCTCGAATCAATAGGCTGCCTGCTGTCAAATTGCCATTACGGACATGCTTCAATTATACAACAAATAGCTGCAAAATGGAGGCTAATGGACACAGATGGAAAATGTTTCCACGCATGCTATTCATACTGACAATAGGCTACTGCAATACCGAACATCCAAAACAGCCCTGTCCACTTTGTGACAAAACACATGAAGTCAATAATGCCTTCACTTTAATGTTTTCTGGACTTTGTCTTGCATCAGAGATTTTTTTTTTTCACACCGGGCTGTACCTCTCAATGATTCATTCATCTTGCCTCCTTAACCTTGATGACAAAGTCTTTCACTTTTGACCTTCCTGGACCTCGTCGAGCCTTCTCAAATCTCTACCCCGAGTAGACGTAGTGCCAGCTGCATCCTCCTCGTCTGCACCTCCCCTGTGACCCAAAATTGAAGTCAATCTTGCCTTCACTTCACTACCTATCATCCCAACAGAAGGTTGAGGCTTATTTCTGGCCAAGGATTTCTTCACCCCCTCCCTGTGATCAAAGTCGCTCCTTTTTTCCTGTACATCCTATCTCTGATAAAGTCTAAATAACAAGGCGAGGTGCTCCCTAGGCCTCCTCCTTCCACCTATGCCTACTTTCTGTGACAAGCATTGCAAGTCCATCCTGCCTTCTTGTTTGCACCGTCACTATAACATAAAATGTCAAGTCAACCTTGCCTTTACTTTGGGCCTTCCTTTGAGTCACCAGTACAGCGAGACATCAAACTTTTTTACTTTTTTTTTAAAGCAGTCCCACCTTTTTCCTAACTGTACATATTGTCTGTGACAGTCAGCCAATCATGCCTTCACTTGTCCTGTCTGTTCTTTCACTGGAGTAACAGAAGTCTAAGACCGCACTTTCTTCTTCACCCCCTCTCCTTGTCAAAAGCTGGAGTGAACCATGCAGTCATTCTCTTGCTTTTTATCATTTTGTGAATGACATTTTGAAGCCAACCCTGCCTTCAGTTTGGTCCTTCCTGTTACTCCACTCTTGACAGGAATGTGTTTACCAACGCCCCAAACAGAAGTTGAAGTCAACCCTTGAAGCCTTTTTTTTCCTCCACTGCACCTTCTCGCCACGTTATCAAACCTGTCTATTGTTTCTCCTGTGTGTACCTCCCCTGTGATGGAACTTGAAATCAACCGTGCCATGTTTGCTCCGCTTGGACCTTACTTCAGTCTTATCATTTGATTTTTCTTGCCCGCACTGCCACTGTGACCCAAGTCGGTTAAATCTGCCTTCTAGTTGATCGTGCATGCACCTTCTCTGTCAAAAGATGTCAACCTGGCTGCACATCCTCAGTGTGACATTCAGATGAAATCTACCCTCCCCTTCCCGTTTGACAAAGATGACGTCACTCCCTCTGCCTTCTCATTCTCCTTCATTGTGCAACATCCTTGGTACTAACCTGTCCTGTGTCTCCTGTCTCCTGATCTCCTGGTGCAAGGGGCTGGCCGCCGACCCTGTGTATCTCCCCACCAGTGAGTGAGCGTGCACGGTTCCCGCTGAACGGCAGCCCTCCCTCCCCCACACGACGCCTTTTTATAGCTCAGCTGAGCCTGCACCGACGGTCTGCACTGCATTCTGGGTAAGAGGGCAGCGGAGCAGATAAGGATGGGAGGGGGAGTATGAGGGGATAGTTGAGAGGAGGCAGGGGTGAAATTACAGAAAGGAAGGTTGAGTGTGGCAGAACCTTTTTACACCACCTGGAAATGATGGCAATTGAACAAATACATGTACTCTTTTGTATAAATGGTACTAATTGAGAATGGAGGGAAGACCAGCTTTCAGAGTCGTGACAGGACCTGTACCAAAAGCCACTTGCTCATTGCCTTTAAAAGCAGACACTGGCCTGGCAATTGTCAGGTTTCGGAAGGAGTAGAGCTGTAATTGTGGAACAGCGCCTTTGTGCAAAGCCATTTTACACTGCCGAAATGCTTTTTTTTTTTTTTAAATTGTAATTTTCTGCCTTTTTTTTGTTTCACTATTCTGTTGCGTTGTTCATCAAAAACATACATTAATAAGTTAAATAGTGAGTAAAGAAATAGTTTGTACATCATAATTCATTGTGCAACTCCTGCTGTGGGTACCTTTGCCACTAGGGGACAGTATCACACGCACCTACACAACGGCTCAGGAAGATGCTCTATTAGTTGTTCTCTACAGAGGATGAATAATATAGACTGTATGGCCGGCGTCGGGCCTGAAACTCCAATGTCATAATTTGGTCAATTAAATATTTTTTTCACAAATTTGTACTGTTGTTCAGTCCACATTGTTTGCATGAACTGTACACATTACAACACAATCAGGCAGGTTTTGTTCAGAGGCCTTTTGTGCTTGGTTCCAGCATAGCATTGTGAAATGGCATCTATTCAATGCAATGTCTTTGACATTTCCCTTCATTTTGCAATCATATCAGCTGCGGACGGCCGAGTTAAGCAGAAAACTTGTGCAGAGTGTGAAAAAAAAATTGTGTATGACAAGCACAGATCCACAAGTAACCTGCAACATTTTTATTAAAAGCACAGCGGACTTGTTCGCTTCCCCCAAATGGAACATAAATACAAAATATATTTATATACTGTGTATATACAAATTATGGCAGTGACCAATGAAAGCATACCTGGTAAGTTGAATCACACAAACTCCCAACATGTATTTATTTTTTTACCTCTTCGAGTCATATTTTGAGGTACAAAAAATGAGGTATGTGGCCACCATTGTGTCTCATATATATATATATATATATATATAATAGGTCATATTAAACATGTTCGTACCATTAAACATATCACATTACTAACCGCTTAAAAGGGTCTTTAGCTGACTTGTCTGCACGTCAAGGGGTTTCCTCGGCAAACTTCTCACAGCCCTTCTTTGTAGTTATCTATCAAAAATGCAGAGTTTCAGCATGGGTCAAGTTCAACATCACGACAGTTTGACACTCACTGTGGATGGGGGTTTAAACAGTAATAGTACTCCCAATATATTGAATTACAGAGGTAATACGGGGCTTTGACCACAAGGGTGCAGTATATCATCCACATTAACTGTGGCCTTTCATAATACTGTACTTCACTTTTTGCTCAGTAATCTCACTTATGGTTTGATGCATTGTATTCTGAATATTAAGCATTACAGGCTTTCAAATTTCACCACTGCATAGTATTAACTACAGTAATACCATCACTGAACATCAGTGACACCAGTCTTGTTTGAATGCTTCAAGCAGCAATGATTCAAGCATTTTTTTTTTTTGCCCCAAAAATCATGAAAACAAGATTTGGCATTGTATCTTAGAACATATACACCCCGCACAAAACAAATGGCAGTCACCTGGTTCATAGACAGACTAG